TTGCTCACATTATAGACCACTGCGGGGTTCACCCATCCTACAGCATCCACCCTGCTGCTTCTTGACAGCCCCTGTACACAGAAAACCCCATTTGTGTTCTAAGAAGGGGCAATGTCTCTGTTGCCTTAGCTCCTTTAACAACACTTGGCCTTTACAAAGCTTTCCTAAGTGGTGTCTTTATGGTCTTTTACACTGTCAGTTTTTTAAGAAGCCCTTGATGAGCCCAGCTACCAACTATGTGAATCCTGAAGGATTCCTTCCCACCAGCCCCTTCAGCTTCTCATTTGCCACTCAGCCTCCTCTGCTCTGGGATTCCCCAGGATGGGGGTATCATAGAACCATGGAATAGTTTGGGTTGAAGGGACCTTAAAGCTCAGCCAGTCTCAACCCCTGCCACAGGCAGGGACACCTTCCACTAGAGCAGGTTGCTCCAAGCCCCTGTGTCCAACCTGGCCTTGAACACTGCCAGGGATGGGGCAGCCACAGCTTCTCTGGGCACCCTGTGCCAGTGCCTCAGCACCCTCCCAGGGAAGAGCTTCTGCCTCAGAGCTCATCTCAATCTCCCCTCTGGCAGGTTCAAGCCATTCCCCTTGTCCTGCCCCCGTCTTCACATTTGGGACTCTGGGTGCCCCTGTCACCCTGGGCCAGGGCTATGCTGGGGGGTCCTAAACCCCTTCATGACCCACCTGAGCAGCTCCAGGAGGACACCATCCCCACCCCTGGCTTTAAAGTCAGTTTAATTTAAACTCACAGAGTTCACAGTTCCCTGATGTAGAGCAAAACTGCTGCCTGGCTTTGCCTGGGCTCCCCAATGTTCCCATGTTGTGCTTATTTCCCCCCATATCCATCATTCTGAGGCGTGCCCCCTCCCCAGGGAGAGCAAATTAGAGCAATTAAAGCCACATTAGAGCTAATTAAAGCCAACACAAGAGGGACGTGGAGCTGTTGGAGCAAGTGCAGGGGCAGTCACAGAGATGCTGCGAGGGCTGGAGCAGCTCTGCTCTGGAGCCAGGCTGAGAGAGCTGGGCTGGGGCAGCTGGAGAAGAGAAGGCTCCTGAAGAGGACACCTTAGAGCAGCTCCAGAGCCTAAAGGGGCTCCAGGAAACCTGGAGAGGGGCTTTGGAGAAGGGGTGCAGGACGCTGGGTGCATGATGCTGGGTGCAGGATGCTGGGTGCATGATGCTGGGTGCATGATGGGTGCTGTGTGTACGGTGCTGGGTGTACTCAGCGTGTGCCGCCAGCGCCCCCTCGTGGCTCAGCGCTGTCCTCCCTCTGTCCCCGCCTGCTCCTGGGGTGCGCAACGGCCCCTCTCGCCCCATGGCTGCTGCAGGACAGGGACCCCCGGCACAGCGTGCACCCACCCAGGGACCCCCCTGCAGGGTGCACCTTGCATGGGACACAGCCCAGCACGTGAGATGTGCACCCCAGCACAGCCTGTGCCCGCTGCGGTGCTACCCC